TAGATTCTGTTTTTGTATCCAATCTGTTAGCCTCTCCCTTCTACTATTTTGTGTAGGACTGGGTTTGTGGCTCGGTATTGGTTAAATCTGTAGTAGGATTTAATCTACTGTCTTGAAGAGCTTTTAAAATGCTAGGTTGTGGACTGCTCTGGATGTTGGCTCTACCTCTCTCCCATTTCAAAATGGTGGACGTATCATTTTTGCTAGCTCTGTGGTCGCCAGGTAGGAGCTGCACTCAGCAGTCCAACCAGGAGAATGAACATGCCACACATAAATTCTTTTTATTTGAGTTACAGCCAAATTGGCCATGCGGAGCAGTGCGTAGCCTGTCTGAGTTACAGCTAAATTGGCCATGGAGAGCAGTGTGCAGCCTGGAAACATCTCTCTGTATGGCTGCAGAAATTCACCATGCTCTCCTGATTGTGCATGCCTAGTAAACCTGATTCTGCCACCTGCCCAGGCAGGGAGCGCTGAGTCACAGGCATGGTCTCAGAGTACTTTCTTTTCGATCCCGAGTAGGCACAGAACATCCGGGCCCACAGAACACCCTGGCACCAGTGGCAGGGCACTGGAAGCCTTGTTTTAAAATGGCATGGCTTCTTCATTTTTCTGCTGTTATTGCCGAGTCAGGAAATCTCTCTGCAGCACACCCCGGCAAACAGCAAAAAGCAGTGTAAAACTCTGCTTTTTCCTGTGTCTAGAATTCCTTTTCAAGCCCTCTCAGGTTTTACATGGAGTTAGTAGACCACGTTGAGGCGCCAATCTGTAGTAGAAGGGGTGGGCCTGCATCCCGCCGCCTGGCTAGCTTACACCTGAAATAATTACACAGAAATTGTATTAATTTATGGAATATCTTGTTTTGTCCTATGGTGATCTACAGTTTTGCTGGGTATTGTAGTCTGGGCTGGCATCCATGGTCTCTTAATGTCTGCATAACGCTTGACCATGACCAGTGTCTCTAATGAAAAATCAGGTGTAATTCTGATAGGTCCGTCTTTATATGTTACTTGGCTTTTTTCCTTTGCACCTCTATATTCTTATATTCTTCCTTTACTCTGTATGTTTAGTGTTTTGATTATTATGTGGCGAGGGTACTTTTTTTTTTTTTGATCCAGTCTGTTTGGTGTTCTATAAGTTTCTGTATCTTCATAGGCATATATTTCTTTAGGTTGGGGATGTTTTAATTCTATGACTTTATTAAATATGTTTTCTGTGCTTTTGAGTTGAACTTCTCCTTTTATACATATTATTTGTAGGTTTGGCCTTTTCATTGTGTCCCATATTTCCTGGATATTTTGGGATTTGCTAGTGTCTTCCATTTTTTTTTTTGTCTTTTCCTCTATTTCTTTGAGGTAATTTCTCATTTCCTCTTTAAGAGTTTCAAACATTCTCCTGAAGTTATTTTTTAGGTCATTTTCTTCTGCTTCGTCTATATTTGGTTGTTCAAGTCTTGCTGTTGTAGGGTCTCTAGGTTTTACTGGAGTTGCGTTGCTCTTTGTGGTGTTGTGTGTGTTCTTACCTTTTCTACTCCTCTTTTTCTCTATTAGGTGTGGTTGGAACTGTCTGTGATTCTGTTGATTAATCTTCTAGGTGCCAGTGAATCCAAGGCTCAGATGGTTGTTCCTTGTGGTACAGTCAGTGCCACAGTTCTAGTTACCCTGATGGTCACTCCATGTTCTTGGAGATTGCTCAGCATTCCCAGGCTTTGCTCTACTCCCTTGGAGTTTGCTGTCTCAGGCCTGTTCTAGCCTAGGTTGTCGGCTTAGACTTTTTTCTGGAAATGTCCCTGGTCTGAATCCATTCCTGCAGAGGTCCCTGGTTTTCAGTTGGTCTTGCAAAGATCTCAGGCTCCAGTCTACTCCCTTGGAGTTCCCAGGCTCGGATGCTCCCAGTCCCACAGAGGACCTGAACCACTCCCTCAGAGGTCCCAGACTCATGCTTGGACCTGCAGAGGTTTCTGGTTCCTGACTATTTCCTTGGATGTCCTGGTTCAGGCCTACTCCCTCTGAGGTCCCAGACTCATGCCTGGATCTGCAGAGATCTCTGGTTCTTGCCTACTCCCTGGGCGGTCCCAGATTCATGCCCAGACTGGCAGAGATCTTGGCTCAGACCTAGTTTCTTGGAGGTCCTAGGTCACGCCCAGAACCACAGGGGTCGTAGCTTAGGTCTGATTCCTTTAAGGTCCCAGATTCATGTCCACACCCTCACCTGTCTCTGGCTCTGGCTCTGGCTCACTGGCTCAGAGTTTACTCCCTGTACCTGTTCCAGTGGAGTTGGCTGTCTCAGGTCTGCTCTGGACCAGGTCACTGACTCAGTCCTGGTCTGCCATTGTGCTAGGACAGGATTGGCTCCTGGCTCCCACTCCCAGGTTCAATCCTCTTTCTTTATTCTGTATGTTTAGTGTTTGATTATTAATGTGGCAAGGGAACTTTTTTTTTTGGTGTAGTCTATTCAGTTTTCTATAAACTTATTGTACTTTTATAGGTATTTCTTTTTTCAAGGAAAATTTTCTTCTATGATTTTGTGCAGTATATTTTTTGTGCCTTTTGAGCTGATCTTCTCTCTTTTTTATTCCTATTATTCTTAGGTTCAGTCTTTTCCTGGTGTTTCATATTTCCTGGATATTTTGTGTTAAGAGTTTGTTGTATTTAACATTTTCTTTGACTGATGAATCCATTTCCTCTATAGTATCTTCAACACCTGAGATTCTCTTTCATATGTTGTATTCTGATGTTTATGCTTGCAGCTGTAGTTCCTCATCTTTTACCCAGATTTCCCATTTCCAGAATTCCCTCGGTTTATGTTTTCTTTATTGTCCCTATTTTAGCTTTTAAGTCTTGAATCATTTCCTTCAACTGTTTGTTGAAAATCAAGATTTTCTTTAAGAGATTTGTTGATTTCTTCCATTTTTTTTGTTTTTTCCTCCATTTTTTTCTTTTTTTCTTTTTCTTTTTTTGTTTTTTGTTGCCTGAACTGTCCTTGCCCCACTATCATACTGATGATTATCTCGAATATCACCATAGAATCTTCGTCCCGCAACGGATGGAGATACAGAGACCCTCATCAGAGCAACGGACTGGGCTCCCAAGGCCCAGTTGAAAGGCAGAAGGAGGGAGAAGATGATTAAATAAATTTATTTTATTTAATAAGTTATTTTATTTTCTTTTTCCATTCAATTATTTACACTTCCTTCCCTCCTCTCAATCTCCTCCTGCTCCTCCATACCCCCTCCTCCCTCTCCCACCCTGCTTGAGAGAGAGCAGGGAACCCTGTCCTGTGAGAAGTCCAAGGCTCTCCCCTCTACATCCAGGCCTAGGAAGTTTTGCATCCATATAGACTAGGGTCCCAAAAAGCCAGAACATGCCGTAAAAACAAGTCTCAGTGCCTTTATCAATGGCTTCTCAGTCAGCCCCCATTGTCAGCCACAATCAGAGAGTTCGGTTTGATCAAATGCTCATTCAGAGCTGGTCCAGCTGGATTTGGTGAGTTCCCATTAGAACTGGCACACTGCCTCAGTTGGTGGACCAACCCCTCGCGGTTGGTCCTGACTTCCATGCTCGTCTCTTCCCTCCTTCTGCCTTTTTTTTAAATATTTATTTATTATGTATATAATATTCTGTCTGTATGTATGTAGGCCAGAAGAGGACACCAGACCTCATGTTGTGAGCCACCATGTGGTTGCCGGGAATTGAACTCAGGACCTTTGGAAGAGCAGGCAATGCTCTTAACCGCTGAGCCATCTCTCCAGCCCCCTCCTTCTTTCAACTGGGCTTTGGGAGCCCAGTCCGTTGCTCTGATGAGGGTCTCTGTCTCTATCACCATCCGTCGCTGGATGAAGAGTCTATGGTGCTATTTGAGATAATCATCAGGGTGATAGTGGGGCAAGAACAGTTCAGGCACCCTCTCCTCTGCTGTCCAAGGACCTAGCTGGGGACATCGCCGTGGAAACCTGGGATTCCCCTCTAGAGCCAAGCCTCCTCCTCCGTTTTTTTTTTTTAAAGGAATTTTCTTTCCTCTTTAAGGGCCTCAATCACCTTCATAAAGTTATTTTTAGGTTTTCTCTGCTTCATTTGCATTGGGATGTTCAGTTCTTGCTGTTATAGATCCACTAGTTTCTGGTGGTGCTGTATTGCTCTTTATATTTTTGAGTATATTCTTACACTGTCGCCTACCTATCTCTTCTTCCAATTGGTACTAGTGAAGCCTGTGCTTCAGGGATTCCCTCTTCCCCCAATGGTGGCTGTGGTTTGCTTGATTGCTACTCCTGGTACAGGCAGGGCAGAGTCTCTAGGTCACTCCTGCAGGTGCAAGTGGGGCCAGAGCTCTGGCGATTGCTCCTCTAGCTGTGATGCAGCAGGGAGCTGTTTCTCTAGAAGGCTCCTGTGGGGCTCTCTCTGTCTGACCTCTGATGCTGATTCACAGGTGTGGGTTGCCACCGCCGTGTTTCAGGTTTAGTTTAATAAAGGAAAAGATTACTCTAGGCTAGTCAAGACAATATAGAAATTTAATGTGAAGCATATAGATTACCTAGTCAAATTAATAGAGCAGAAAGAAACAGGGAAAATTGATGTTAATATATTTTACTTGGTCCATCACATAAAAATACTGTCATTTTAATGTGTGTGTGTGTGTGTGTGTGTATGTGTGCGCGCGTATGTGTTTGGTATTTTTGGTGTTTTGAGATAGGGACTCACTATGTAGCCCTTGCTGTCCTATGTAGACCAGGATGGCCTTGAACTAACAAATCTGGCTGCTTCTGCCTCCTGAGTGCTGGGATTAAAGATCTGGGGAACTGTTTTAAATCTAGCATTGGTAATAATTGTAACTGATACTAAGATGGTAACTTTTTGCAATATAATGAACAGCTTTAGGCATATCTATGAGAATTACTCCAATTATGAAGTATTGCTGTAAAAACATTTTTAGTGGGTAGAATTTGCTGGAAATGTATTAGAATAAGTCCCAGAGACTGACTTAAAAATGTTGGCATATGTGTTCAGAATTTCAGCTTATGTTCGGTATCTAAGGTGGAGAAGAACTCATTAGAAGACACTGCTGCTTCAACTCTTCCCACTCAAGCAAAGATTGATGGAGATAGAAAATTTCCAGGTAATACTTTGACATTTTTATTTGTATTTTACTATTTTAAATGGTCTATTTATTACTGTTAAGAGAAAATTTTTATGTGAAATAGGTCTGTTAACCATTGTTATGGTTTTTGTTTTTGACTTTTTTGTGTTTTTTTTTTAAAAGACTGGGTTTCTCTGTGAGTCCTGGAACTCACTCTGTAGATCAGGCTGGCCTCGAACTGACAGAGATCTGCCTGTCTCTGCCTCCTGAGTGCTGGGATTAAAGGTGTGTGCCACCATGCCCAGTTGTTACATTTCTTTAAATGGATTTAGTTTACTTTTATATATGTATCTTTGTGTAAACTCGTGTGTATCCATTTAGTTCAGAGAAGGGCAACAGATCCTCTGAACTGATCTTATAGGTGTTTGAGAAACCATGCAGTGTGGGATGCTAGGATCTGTACTTGCATCCTTTGTGAGAACAGCAAGTGCTCTTAACACTGAGTCATTTATGTACTTTGTAGTGTGGGTTTTTTGTTTGTTTGTTTGTTTTCGGTGATGTTTTGTTTTTTGACTTTTCCAGACAGGGTTTCTCAGGCTGGCTTCTAACTCAGAGATCCACCTGCCTCTGCCTCCTGAGTCCTGGAACCGCCATGACCACCTGGCTTTTTTAGTGTAGTTTTTGAAATTGTGGTTATCATTAATTCTTTCAGGGGAATTGCTTCTATTGGGGGAGTACTTAAATGGCTATCTTTTGTGTGCCTACTGAGTGTTCTTTTGTTTTAGTAGCTCCTATTTTGAATTCTCTAGAGAAGGACTCCTTAATGAATTGCTGAAGTTGAGGGTATATGCTTATTTCTCAGATTTTATCTGCTCTTTGTGCCATTGTGGGTTTTTCTCTTTAACCCTCAGTACTCAGTGAGTCTGTCTTTGAATTAAAGGTTTATCTACGTTTCATATTTTCCACTTACACTGTACAAAAGCTCTATTTTATTTTATTTTATTTTATTTTATTTCATTTCATTTTTTCAGAGACAGGGTTTCTCTGTGTTTTTCTGGCTGTCCTGGAACTCAATCTGTAGACGAGGCTGACTTTGAACTCAGAGATCTGCCTGACTCTGCCTCCCATGTGTTAGGATTAAAGGTGTGCACCACCCCCCCAGGCACAAAAACTTTATAACCTTATTAGTTTCAATATTATGTGAACTGTTAGATAGATGTTTACTCACCTATGTCAAATGAAGCAGCAGAGGATCTAGAACCCTCATTGTATTATTTCCTCTAAAGAAAAATTATACTTGGAGCATAGTGTTGGTCAGGTAATCTTAGCTACTACTGAGTGTCCAGATTTCACTCAGAGCAGTGGAGGAATGAGTATAGTACATGAGAATTCCATTTACTGAAGAATAGTGTGCCTTAATTGAATTTAATTATTTCTATAGTTAACCTTCTAAGAAATAAAATCTTACGTGGGCGGCGATGGCACACACCCTTTAATCCTATCCCTGTGAGTTCAAGGCCAGTCTGGTCCTATGAACAGGCTCCAAAGCTACACAAAGAAATCCGTCTCAAAAAACCAAAAACTATAATAAAACAAAACAAAACAAAACTCTCCAAAATTTAAATAAAATGTTTTTATTTATTTCTGTTTAGAGTTTAGTCATGCAGTCATGGAGCAAATTTCTTTTATTAATATTTGTTAATGATTGGTGCAATTTAGAGATAAAGGGAGGTGGGTTGTAGTGGCGCATACCTGTGGTTTCTTCACGAGGTGGATCGGATCTCTGAGTTGGGTGCTGACACACACCTATACTCCCAGCATGCAGAGGCAGGTAGATCTCTGAGTTCAAGGCCTCTCTGGTTTACAGAGTGAATTCCCGGGACAGCCAGGGCTATGTAGAGAAACCCTTGTCTTGAAAAAGTAACACCCCCCCAAACCCTAAAAACAAAGAGCTAAATCTACTAGACCTCTTTGCATTCTCCTTAGTCTGACTTTATAGTGCAGAGCTTTTCTGCCTCAGTTTGAAAGGTGATTTCCAAAAAGGTGGTTTTAATTTTATTAGTTGTTTATTTTAAATTTTATTTTGAGATTATAATTATGTCATTTTTTCCATTTCCTTTCTCCAACCCTCCTATATATGCCTTCATGTTCTTTTTCACATTCATGGCTTCTTTTATTAACTTCATAGGGTAGGAGAGACAACTCAACAGTTAAGAGCACTGGCTCTTCTTAGAGAATACAGGTTCAATTTCCAGCACCCACATAGTGGCTCAGAACTATCTGTAATTCCAGGCCAAGAGGATATGATATTCTCTTCTGACCTCTGAGGCTCTAGACATTCATGCAGGCATTAAATACTCACTCATACATTTTAAAAATAAGTCTTTAAAAACTGTTCACTGTACAATTCATGTGCTTTATTAACTCACAGGCTCAGCTTCTAAGCAGCCCCATAGTAATGAAGTGTCCATCAGTAATGAAGCATCCATCAATAGCAAGCACAGGTAAGGCATGTCTTTGATTTAAGAAGTTGTACTTGAGAGTTCTTAGATTTGTTATTTAACAACCCAACCCTAGTGATCAAAATTTACTCACATTTTGCATTTTGTTGCCATTGAAATTTTCCTTTTTCCTTTTCTTCCTTCTTTCCCACCCGCTTTCTCTGTGTAGCCCTGGTTGTCCTGGACCTACAGTGTAAACCAGGCTGACCTTGAACTTAGGGTTCCACCTTCCTTTGCCACTGAGTGCTGGGTTTAAGGTGTTCCAGTGTCCTTGAACTTTTTCCGTGCCTATTCAAGTAGTAACCTTTTTAAAAGGTTCTTTTGTTGTTGTTGTTTTGTTTTGTTTTTTCAAGACAGGGTTTCTCTGTAGCTTGATAGTCTGTCTTGGAACTAGCTCTGTAGACCAGGCTGGCCTTGAACTCACAGAAATCTACCTGACTGCCTCCCAAGTGCTGGGATTAAAGGCATGTGCCATCACTGCCAAGTTTAAAAAATTCTTTTAAAGTTAATGTGTTCTGAGCATATTACCTTCCTACCTCATCTAAATTTTATGTTTTGATTTCCTTGTGAGAGCATTTCTTGGTTTCTTCAGTAGCTATCTATTTAATCGACATTCTGCTTGTCTGTAGCTTTTTTTCTATTAAACAATAGTGACAGCTTATTCAGTGAAGACATAAGTTTTGCCCACTTGCGTGAGTATATATGTGGCATGACTTCCCAGCTCATCTCTTTTCACAGTTGTTCTGATTTATGCTGCCAGCAGTAGTAAGAGTTGTTTCCCTTCACTCTTTGAAACATTGGGTGGTATAGATGCGTGAGAGCGCTTTAAGGAAAGGAAAGGCCTTCTCTTTAATGCCAGTGGTGAGTGAGTCTGACTTACTTGCCTGACCACCAAATAGTCTTTAGGACTTTAGGAACCTAAAACTACTACAAAACCTAAGACATTCAAGCAACAGTCGATCGCGCAGTTTTGTTTCTTGATCATTAGTAGCTTTCTTTTCCTTTTGAGCAGTTTTTTTTTTTTTTTTTTTTTTTTGGTTTTTGAAGACAGGGTTTCTCTCTGTTGCTCTGGCTGACCTGGACCTCACATTATAGACCAGGCTGACTACGAATTTACACAGATCCTGGCTTTGACTTAAAAGTTTTAATTGACGTAATAATGCATGCTTATGAGATACACTGTGATCTTTCAATATAGGTATCCTGTGTAATGATTGAATGAGAGTAACTGGCATAGTCATCACCTCAAACATGTCATTTCTCTGTGTAGGAAGCACTGACAGTCCATTCAGAGATATTTTGAAAGACACAGTTGCCCTATGTGCTATGAATATTAGAAGTTATTTCTTTTTAGCTGCAGCTGCTCCATATGACAACAGTCTCCCTTTTCACTTCCTAGTTTTGGCAACAACTATTTTTTGAGGTTAACCTTTACCTTCCAAATGTGAGATCATACAATATTTACTTTCTACCCTTGATACCCTAGGTAACACAATGTCCTCCAGGCATATTTGTATGGCTGCAAATGCCAATATTTCTTTCTTTTTTTCTCCTTTTCCCCCCTTTTTGGTTTTGAACCTTTAATGAGAAAAAAATATACACGGGTTCAAAATCATTGTGTTCTGTGTGTCATTGGAGGAGATCTGGGTCACATATTATGGCATAAGTAGTTAACAGATTGTATTACCATAGATAGAGTCACACAATGCCAACATGGGTGTTAGCAAGGTTAGTTTTGGGTTTCCTCTGTCAGTCAGAAGCATTTTGGGGATCCCATGCCTGATGGGGGAAAGACGACCAGACTCTGGGCACTGCAGTTGCCCTCCAGCACACCCACCTCAAACAACACATCATGCTCGTTGCTCTCAAGTGACTCTTTGGGTACCTGGGTTTGATGTGTCTGCTGCCTGCACAAGCTGTCTACCAGCACAAGCTGCCACCTACCTCTGCCTCCTGAGTGCTGGGATTATAGGCACGCGCCACCACCGCTCAGTCACTACCGCTCAGCCCGCTCATTTTGATTTTTAAAAGGTTATCTTTTTTCCTCCTTGAAATTGAATTTTTTTGTTAGAAATAAGTTCTTTAATGATTGACATTATATATATATATATATATAAAATATCTAATAATTTTTTTTAAAGAGATATACCATCAAATCATTCTCAGCTAAAGTATAATTCTCATTTGGAGATAACAATTCCAAAGGCCTTGAGACTGAAAGAATCCGAGAAAGTGGATGAAAAACAACTGATCATAGTAAGTACACAACTTACCTATTACTATTACCAATAAGTGTGGTTGTAAATGAATTATTTATACAAGATTCTTTTTTCTTTTTCTTCTTACCCTGCCCCACCCCACGCAGCTAGGGCTTCTCTTTGCAGTCCTGGCTGTCCTGGAACTTGTTTTGTAGACCAGGCTGGCCTCAAATTTAGAGATTTGCCTGCCTCTGCCTCCTGAGTGCTGGGATTAAAAGAGTGCACAACAATCCGGTGCAATGTTCTTAAAGTACAAATTAATTCTTTCTTGATCATTATAATTTTTATTATAGAAAGCATTCCTGGTGTTATTATAGTCTACTCTTCCCATAATAATAATATGAGTAGCTTGATCACTACCTCCTCCCAGAAGTTTATTTAAATATTAAAATTACTTGGAACTTAGTACAAATAGCTGTTTGTATAACATGTCCATACAGTGCCAAAGGATAGTAGAAACTTGACTGTCCATTGGTAGATGAATGTATAATCACAATGGTTACTTATCAGCCTTAAGAGAAATTCCTACACTTGTGCAGCACGGGTGAGCCTTGAGGGCCATATATTGTGTGAAGTAAGTCATGAAAAAGACCATGGGATTTTACTCACGTGAGGTGTCAAGAAAGTAGGTTGGCGACTGCTAGAGATTTGAAGGAATGGGAGAATAGGAAGTTACTGTTCAATGGATGTAGAGCTTAGTTTTGCAATGAAAAAAGTTTGAGAGATTGTATAACAGTGTGAATTAAACACATATTACCAGCTAGGTGGTGGAGGCACACACCTTTAATCATAGCATTTAGGAGACAGAGTTCGAGGACAGCCTAGTCTACAAAGCAAGTTTGAGGACAGCCAGGGTTAACTCCCCCTACCCCCTTCTTATTTATTTGTTTGTTTGTTTTCTTTTTGTTTATTTGTTTGTTTTTTGTTTTGTTTTCGAGACTGGGTTTTTCTGTAGCTTTGGATCCTGTCCTGGAACTAGCTCTTGTAGACCAGGCTGGTCTCGAACTCACAGAAATCCGCCTACCTCTGCCTCCCGAGTGCTGGGATTAGCCCGGCTAGTTGCTTTTTTTCAAGACAGGATTTCTATTTGTAACTTTGCAGCCTCTCCTAGAACTTGCTCTGTAGACCAGATTGGCCTCGAACTATCATAGATCTACCTGCCCCTTCCTCCCAAGTATTGGGATTAAAGGTGTGCACCACTACCGCTCGGCAACAGCCGTGGCTACACAGAGAAACCCTGTCCCAGAAAACCACCCCCCCCAAAAAAAAAATTTTTAAGTTTTAGTGTGTGTGCAGGTGCTTGAGCGTGCACACACCTATGCTATAGTGCCTTAATAGAGGTCAGAAGACATCTGTTGGGAATTGGTTTTCTTCTTCCAGTAAATACAATAATACATTATTTTCACTAGTTTGTAACTATTTTAAATATGAAATATAAATTAGCTCTCCTGTATAGATTGTTTATTATTTGGTACCTTTGGACTAAGTTTATATTGATACATATTTTCTCAGTTCTTTTAAATGTAGTAAGCTCTTGAACAAGTCAACAGGTTATTAAAATGGAAATCTTTTATGTGTTGCAGGTGTAAGCAACATCTGTCCTGTGTGTGAGGGACAGATTCTGGAAGGTGTTTAGTTACTCTCTCCTTAGTTTTTGAGATAGGGTCTTTCACTGAGCATGGAGCTCATCAATTCAGCGAGGTTCCCTGAACTGCAGAGTTCAGGGCTGGGATTTGAGACTTGTACCAGTGTACTAGCTGTTTAGATAAAATTTTTAATTTACTATAACTATGATGAGGGGGAGATGCTCTTGTGTCCATGTGGAGGTTAGAGCACAGATTTATTGCACACGGATTTTAGACTACGATATCTTAATTTAAATGTTGCTCATAAATTAAGCAATCCTTGTTTTATGTTCACATAGTTTTAGAGACTGTGTTCAGAAATAGTTACTTTGGCAAGGAAGAAAACATTTTGTTTGTTTTTTATAAATAGGATGCTGGACACAAAAGATTTGGAGCAGTGTCCTGTAATGTCTGTGGAATGCTTTATACAGCTTCAAATCCAGAAGATGAAACCCAGCACCTCCTTTTCCACAACCAGTTTATAAGTGCTGTAAAGTATGTGGTAAGTAGACTTTGTGAATTAAAGCATACATTGCAGGTAATTAGGTTAGATTTTTAATGAAATGAATTGCCAAATTTAAGTTGTTGAAATTTTTTTTTTGTTCTTGGAGATCAGTAATATATACAAAGCATGCATGACATGCATGGATATTGATTTCCTTTAAAACAAAGCCAAATATAAAATCCAGGGAATTTTCCGGACAGATTGCTACTGTGGGATTTTTAACTTAGGTTATGTTTTTCAGTGTAATTGGTTTTCAAAAAGTTATTGTACCTTTCTAACTATATTAATTAGCTTGTGCATAGGTCTTTTTTTTTTTTTCTTTTCTTTCTTTTTGGTTTTTTGAGACAGGGTTTCTCTGTAGCTTTGGAGCCTATCCTGGTACTAGCTCTTATAGACCAGGCTGGCTTCGAACTCTCAAAGATCTGCCTGCTTCTGCCTCCTGAGTGCTGGGATTAAAGGCCTATGTCACCACTGCCCGGCTGTGCATAGTTCTTAAAACTTTCCTTTGACTTTATTAATTACTGTGGATCAATCTATAATAAATGTTCATGTATCTTATTGAAATCTGTATTTGGAGATTATAGTGTGTATCTTGTCAGATAGGTGGTTTGAGGACTCTTTCCTGTTATTCGAGTTTGTCTTTTACAAAGTTAAATGTAAATATTTGAGTACAAAATAAATTTAATTATAAATGCATTTAAGGCATAATAGGTTTGTTTAATATTTGCTTCTGGAAAGAGAAAATTTGTTAGCAGTTTTGATCAATTCAGCTATTTGTAAAGTTATAATTTAGTATAATTTGTTTATCTGTAATTGAGATGGTTTTCTTTTAATTCTACACTTTACCTTATGTACTGTACATTGACATTAATAAGACCTCCAGGATATCTGAACTGAGCTCACTAATTCATTTCATTAGGTACTAAATACTGGATCACTTAAAAGTCTTAATAGCCTCCTGTGTAAATTCATGTACTTGGCTTTTGTTCAGTGGTTTATGTTCATTCCTTCATGGTTGAACCTTTTATCATTTTTCCAGGGTTACTGCTGCCCAGGCTATGTGAGACCTTCTTTTTTGGTTCCCTACTCTGCTTATCCTTTATAATTCTTTATTTCATATATATTTCCACACATACTACCTTCTACAACTTCACTAAGTAAAATAGAATGTGTATGCATGGATATAGGGTATAATTTGATCGGTTTATCCCTTGCAGTTTAGGCCTTTCTAAACTGGTCGTTAACATTCGTTGCTATTGTTTTGTTTTGTTTTTTCAAGACGGTTTTTCTGTGTAACTTCCTTGGCTGTCCTCCTCATTCAGTATGCAAGGCTGGCCTCAAACTCATAGAGATCCTCCTGCCTCTGCCTACTGAGTGCTGGGATTAAACAACTTGGCTGTTAACATCTGTACATCTAGAAAAGAAACTGGTGCTGTTAGCTAGCTAATTACGAATGAACCAGATACAAGTCCTTTGTATTCAGTTTAAAGTATTTAATTCTCATGTTCATTTAGTTTCTTTCTTTTCCTTCCTTTCTTCCTCCCTCTTTTAAGACAGGGTTTTTCTATTTAACTCTGGCTAACTAGAACTCAGAGATGAGCCTTCTTCTGCCTCCTGGGTGCTGGTATTAAAGCATGTGCCACCACTGTCTAGCTCATTTAGTTTCTTAAAAATATAAAAAAAATACTGTATTTAAAAGGTTTAACTTTAGAAAATTGTTGATTTCTGAGGGGAACAGAAAAAATTCATTCAAGAAATAGGTACTCTGCTTTTTCAAGGTTCTGGGAGAAGATGGTTTAGAGTACAAAGTATAGTCATCACCTGGATAGTTCCTGGGTATCTTGTAATGCTTTGGTGTACTGTAGTAACCTGGGTCCAGCCCTTGTCACTCCTCCTTAGACGGATGGAGCACTAGGGAGTACAGCTAGTGATTGTTTTATTTTGAGATAAGTTCAAGAGAAGAAATTGAATTTAGCAGTTGGTCATATCGATGTCCTTCACTTTTGCTGTTTTGAAATGCGGTGGCGGCACATGCCTTTTAATCTCAACACTTTTCGAGGCAGAGGCAGGCGGATCTCTGTGAATTAGAGGCCACTCTGGACTACAAAGTAAGTTCCAGGACAGTCAGAATACATAAAGAAATCCTGCGTCTAAAATAATAATAAAAAAATTTAAAAAGAGAAATGTTTGAGGTAGAGACTATTTTGAAACATTGCATTATTATTTTATAGTATATATATACTATAAAATATATAAGTATATATAGAAAAGTATATATACTATAAAACATATAAGTATATAAAGTATATACATACTATAAAAATATATGATATAAGTATATATAAAGTATATATACTAATATATACATACACACACACACACACACACACACACACACACACACACATATATATATATATATATATAAAACACCAGGTGGTGGTGGCGGCACACGCCTTTAATCCCAGCACTCAGGAGGCAGAGGCAGGCGGATATCTGTGAGTTCGAGGCCAGCCTGGTCTACAAGAACTACTTCTAGGACAGGTTTCAAAGCTACAAAGAAACCCTGTCTCAAAAAACCCACTCCCCACCCCAAAAAAAAAAAGAAAGCATGGACTGGAGAGATGGCTCAGAGGTTAAGAACACTGACTGCTCTTTCAGAGGACCTGAGTTCAATTTCCATCAACCACATGGTGGCTCACAACCATCTATAATGAGACCTTATGCCCTCTTCTTGCCTGCAGGCGTACATGTAGACAGAACACTGTATACATAATAAATAAATAAATCTTGAAAAAAAATAATAAAAAAATAAAAAGGCCTTTACTTTCTACTTTTCTTTGTGATATTAAAGTGTTAGCACCTGTATTGTGCATTGCAGAGTACTTGTTAATCAACTAATTTTATTTAGCGTGAATTTTATGTTTTATGTAAAGGAAAAGAAGTCACTTGGTGCTTGGTTTAATTCATGCTAAATTTACAGTATTTAAGAAGTGGAAATAAAATTTTACGCCAGTTAAAACTATTAAAAGTGAAATAGTGGTTGAGTGTGGTGACATGTTTTGATGCCAGCTCTAACTATGCAGAAGATATGACAATCACTGCGGGTCTAAGGCCAGGCTAGTATGACTGTGAGTTCTAGGACATCCATGGATGTGAACTGAAACCTTGTCTGGAAAACACCAAAATAAGCAAATACAAGTCGATAATTTTGTGAATCAATTAATTAGAAACTTTTTTTTTTTCTTGTTTTGAGGTAAGATCTCTGATTAACCCTGGCTGTCTTGGAATTTATGATGCAGACCAAGAAGGTCTCAAATTCACAGAGATCTACCTGCCTCTGCCTTCTGACTGCTCAAATTAAAGGTGTACATCACCATGCCTGGCCAATTAGAAGCATTGTTTAAAAATTAAACACCTATAATAATCAGATAAAACGAGCAATGAGGGATGGCTTGCTCGCTTATCTATGTATTTATCTCTATCTAGCTGTCTGAGATAGGGTCTTACTGTGTGGACCAGGCTAACCTGGAACTCCAAAAACATTGTTTAAAAAATAAATACCTAGCTGGGCGGTGGTGGCGCACGACTTTAATCCCAGCACTTGGGAGGCAGAGGCTGACAGATCTTTGTGAGTTCAAGGCCAGCCTGGTCTACAAGAGCTAGTTCCAAGACAGGCTCCAAAGCTATAGAGAGAAGCCCTGTCTTGAAAAACCAAATAACCAACCAACCAAATAAATGCCCATAATAATCAAATACAATGAGAAACGGCTTGTTTGTTTTCTTATTTGCTTCATTGATATCATTTTAAGAAATGGGTTTTATCTGACATAATGGGAATTATGAGGAAGGAACATTTAGTGTTTCAGGGAAAAACTCTGACTTGGACCTAGAAACTACTGTTTTCTTGGTGGACTAAGGTATAATAGCTCTTTAAAGTGTGAGGAGTAAGCAGGAATAGCCAGGCAGCCATCAGACACTATCAGAAACTCAGTTTCATTCACTAGGCACTCTCAGAAGATGAATAATCTGTTGGTCGTTTGGAGAGAAACCACTCTTAGGACTGTGTAATACACCCTGGATGCTTGGGATCCAAGCTTTTAAAAAAAGAAAGAAAGAAAGAAAGAAAGACAGACAGACAGACAGACAGACAGACAGACTAGCAATTACAGATTTAAGTAATTATTGAGCGATAAGACAACATGCTGTAAGTATGTAACTATTTCAGTGAGTGATCAGTTCTCTTTAGGGTATAGAAGTGACCAGAAAGCACTGGTTAGAAGAGCTGCTCAGAAGAGAGACTTGTTTTCATTGGTGAAGAAGAGTTTTCAGAATAAACGTAGGAGGGCCAACTGTGGCTGTTACCATAGTACAGCTAAAGAGACAGCAAATGTCAATCTTGTGTGGTCTCGGCCATATCTTTGTGACAGAAGCAAAGGGTGATGAGATAAGAAAAATATGTGAGATAGTGATATTTTGATTTTTGAATGCTATTTGGAATTCTTTTCATCCTTTCAGAGGCTGAAAAATTTTTAGCTCCATGAGTGGTTTTTTTTCTTTTCTTTTTCTTTTTTCTTTTCTTTTCTTTTTTTTTTTAAGGTTTTTCAAGACTGGGTATCTCTGTAGTTTTGAAACATGTCCTGGAACTTGCTCTGTGAACCAAGCTAGCCTTGAACTCAGAGATCCACCTGTCTCTGCCTCCTGAGTGCTGGGATTAAAAGCCTGCGCCACCACTTCCCTGCTCTTGTTTTTTGAGACAGGGTTTCTATGTAACAGTCTTGGCTGTCCTGGAACTCACTTTGTAGGCCAGGCTGGCCTGAACTCAGAGATCCTACCTTTGTCTCCCAAGTGCTGAAATTAAAGGTGTGCCCTACCACCTCCCTGCCATGAGAGTTATTTTTAAGTCATCTTATTTTGGTGAGATATAGGGAAAGTGATTTCACTGTGGGGTGAGGGCCATAAATAAATAGGCTTAAGGTGTGTGTTGTGTTGAATTA